CTCTCTCTCTCTCTCTCTCTCTCTCTCTCTCTCTCTCTCTCTCTCTCTCTCTCTCTCTCTCATCATTTCGCCGAAACTGGCCTGTCGGCCAGACACTGATTAGAGGCGACATACTAAACTTATTTAAAAAACAAAAACTATGTCGCAACCATTCCGTCCATCACTGTACGCGCGGTTGATAAACGGCCGAAATCGCGAGCGTTACGCGCTCGTAATGAGCGCGATTAATAGCCGCTCCACGCACGTGCCCTCGATGCGTCTACGTGCGTGTACGCGCGAGCTCGGCCGTCTCGTTTATTATCGCCGGGCGAACACTCGTCACGTCGTGGATCGCTCCCGATAAACTGTCCTCGGGGTTGCCGCGCGGCGAACGGGAGCGATCGTCTTCCGTCGCAGGTCGCGCCGTGCCAAATGCGTCTCTCTCGCGTCGCCCGTCGCGTTTCCCAGAAACCCCAACCGGGAAGCGGAAGGCACTATTCGACGATACATCGACGACGTAAGACAAGTATATCGACTGATCTCTTTCGCAAGGTCGCGTCTCGATTTTACGCAATTTTCGCTCTTTCCGCTTAAACACTCGTTTAGGATCCGAGACCCAATCACGAGTCGCAAATACGAAGTGATGAAGGATACCGGAGCCAAGACGAAATGTTGGTGTCTAAATGATTTTAATTCTCAGATTTATTGCGAAGAATTTACCTCAGCCAGGGTTTGAACCTGGACCACCCTTTGACCGCCTAGTGGTCCAGGTTCAAACCTTGGCTGTGGTAAATTCTTCGCAATAAATTTGAAAATTTAAATCATTTAGATCACTGACATCCTGTCTTGGCTCTTATAATCCTTTATTACTTCGTATTTGCGATTTCACGTCAGAGTCTTATGAATTTTATTTGTTCAATCGTGAATCTTTTCCTCAAGCGTGAACTCGCGAAGAGTGAAAATTGTCATTGACAAATATCGAATTCGTTGATGAGATTTTTCGCTCCTCGCGGGCTCGCGCCAGAGAAAAAGATTCACGATCGAGTAGAGAAACCAGAAATTGTGCAAAACTGAGATACAACCTCGCGAGAGAGAGGAGTCGATATCTAGATTTTACGCGAGATCCGAGCGGAGTGCGACTTTTACGACTGGATTTTCTCAATTCCGATAACTGCAAACGCCCCTCCGCGATAGCATCGCGCGTACAATACAAATTTGAGACACAAGTATACCAGCTAGGGAATGCGTTCGTGCAAGACGTGCCGGTGATACAAGATACAATAGTCTCTCTTGGGCGGAGCGTCCTATCTTTTGGACTTACAAATGTAAAACACGCAGTAAAACGAAATCCCCGAGAGATAAGAGAAGACGCGTCCCTTGGAAAAATCGCTGGAAACTCGAAAACCGCAGGAGCGCTCTCTCCCTCTCTCTCTCGTTTCTTTCCTTTTGCTTCTCTCTTTCTCTATCGCCCTCGCTTCTTACGCGCATTATTGTGGCTCCGTACATTACCCCGGTAATAACTGGTGCTCCCCATTTAGCGACACCAGCCGACGCAGGCATCAGTCTGTCCTTTTTCAACGTCCGGCGAGCGAGGAGAAAACGATACTCGTGTCGGTAAATGGAAAGCAACCGAATGTCTGTACGCTCCCGGGGAATGCAGTGCCAGAGCGTCTCACAGATCGACGCTTCGATTCCCTCTCTCTCTCTCCCTCCGCTGACGCGAGAGAGGCCGCGATCCGGCTCGGGGTCTGGAATTCCGGATCGGCGTGACAGGAGTCGGGCGCACCGACCCGGAGGGGCCCGAGCGTAGACGCCGCCGCCGATGCACGCGCGGGGGTTCGCGCGAACGGGGTAAAACGCGTATGCAACGGGGGGATCCGCCGCGAGGATCCGCGAGGGACGGGACGGAGGGGAGTCGTGGCGCGCGCGCGCGCGCGCGCGAGGCCGCCCGTCTCTCCCGCGTCCTAACGTACCTCACGCAGGGTGTATCACGCGCTGTTCGCAGTTGTTCGCAGCGCCTCCGCTGGCCCACGAAGACGCGGGGCGCCTCTTCTCATCCGCGTCCGACGACGGCGACGGTGACGCTGCGCCGAGGGGCCGACGACGACGACGACGTGGCTCCGCGCGACCGGAGCGTCCGGCGACGAGCCGCCGTTCCGGGATGCATCGTTGCCCGCTCACTCCTCGCGTTTCCGGCTCTCCTTCTCGCTCCTCCGCGGTCTCCCTGTCTCACTCTCTCTCTCTTTCTCGCTCTCCTCCGTCCGAGCACTTCGAGCACACGGGGAAGGGGACGTGCCAGGGAGGAGGGGGTCCTCAATTCTGTGACACTAGGGAGACGCACATGACGCAGCTACCGCGGCTCCGGGGCCTGCACGCCGCGAGCGCGGGGGCCCCCCCCGACACGATCCCTCCGCAAGCTGCGGGCGGCCACGGGCACTGGATCGTCGCGAGGCGGTGACCCACGGTTGCGTGCGAGGACGCGCGGACGATCCGACTCCTCTCGGGCGCGCTCCTTGCGACTCTCTCGTTAGCGAACGACGAACGACGACCGCCGCGCTAGTAACATGGCCAGACTGGAACGGCACTCGTCTCCGAGTGCACCGCGAGCGTTTCCCCCCCGGCGCGAGTATGTCCGCCCCTCTTCCCGCCAGATGGAGGCGCCGTCGCGGCCGTTGCTTTAATTCCTCCGCGCTTCCTCCTTTCACCGGTCGAGCCGCCGCCCGGCGCCGACCGACGGAGGCCACGCGGAACCTCGGTCGACGCCAGCCGCTCCGTCGATAATGTCGCGGCGCCGATAATTCTCTCATTGTCAAAATTTGCTTTTTTGGGAGGCGAGAGACGAGAGTGGGTCTTCGAGACGCGGATTTCGAAAGCGGTTCTCAATTTTATTTACAATCGTTTGTGCTCGGCCGCCTCCTTTCTTATGCCCGTTCTACACCTGGTCCTACTTGCGCCTCATCCGAGCGGAGACGTTTACACGGGCATTTTAGCGTTGGCTATGGTACTAACATAAGTATGCTTCTTGCATGATCTCACTAGGATTTTCAACCGTCTCCTTACGTAGAAATAGCAGCCAGATCCATAAACGCTCGCAATACGGCGATCTTCGTCCGTATAATATTTATCTCACTCGGACTACGCTTCCACTCGGGCTAGAGTCGGGTCGGAAACTCGGAATCGGGGTTGGGGTGCGCGCTCTTGCGGTGGAAACACCAAACCCCAAGCCGATTCTGACCCGACTCTGACTGACCCTCGGTCGCGACGACGGCGCGACAGCTCAAATTGGGTCCCCCGGCCGCTCTTGAGGAGAAGAAAACAGCTCAAGTTGGAGCTCGAACCGTGTCGGCGCAAAGTTGGAAAACGCGTGGAACTGAAGTCACCCGGCTGGGAATGGTACGAAGCATTTACAGCTACGAGGACCGACAAACTTAATGTAAGAAGTCCGAAAGATTCAACTACGCAAACTCCTTCGTTCAAAGACCGCGTCTTTTTTTGCGGATCTCGCCGACCTGCTCACTTCCGTCGCTGTTTTGTACGCGCGATTTGACGCCGGGCGATCGTAACGATACATTTTGCATGTCGCCAAGATGAGAGCGGGACGGGAGACCTCGGCACTCGACACCGCCGTTTGCTCTTGCAGAGGTGCGCTATCAAAGTGTAACACACATTTTGGCGTCGTTAAGATCCGTTTATTTCGATCTGCATCGCCTCCACAGGAAGACGTACGCCAGCGAGTGGAAGACGGCGTAGATGATAGCCATGAGGGCGACGTCGGGCCAGAAGTTGCGCTCGTCGAAGTCGTAGCGGTCCAGCACGTCGGCGCCCTCAGTGAGGCAGGGCAGCTCGGTCGTCTCGCAGGCTGTTCGCAGGAAACAGATCCGTCAAGCCTCGTCTACACGACAAGGCGTAAAGCCCAATGTCCACGATGCTAGAACTTGGTCCAAGTTCTAGTTCCGAGAAACGTGTAGCCAATCAACTTGCAGCTTTTATGGAATAGCTGCACATTGATTGGCTACAGATTTCTCGAAACTAGAACT